GGATTCAGTAAAGGTCATATAAACCAATCACTGATATCAAATCCCTATTTATGTTTTTTTTTTCGATAAAAGATGAAAAACCGGTGGTTTTAAAGGTAAGAGAATTGAATCTTATTTTGGCAATAAGAGAGCCAATAGTCTTAACAGTAAGAGAACTGAGAAACATTAGTATCCACCTGCCAAGAAGACTGATACTTGTTTCCCGCAAACCGGTAGAGGAGAGATTTCGCATAGCACGTGTTGTAGAAGTAAATTTAATTGGTCCCTTCTGTAACAAGAAATTCTCACATTTTCTAGCAGGGAAGGAATTCCTCACCGAAACCACAGTCGAAACCTCCGTGCACAGTGGTAGGACATACTGCTAGGATCATTTTTCTTTGTTCCACCCTCGTGACAAGGTGAAAAACATCCTTGTCCATTTCTTTACCGAGCTCAAAAGTTACCATCTTTCTTTGGCGATTTACAAACATGACGCTGTTGACATTGTTGATTCTAACAGTATACAGGACGCGTGTCACTATATGAACTTGGTAATAAGCCTTGCTCACCGTAGAGTCTATGAGGCTCAGTAGTAAAGCATCGGAGTGCGGAATCCGAAGGTTTGAGGTTTTATTTCTCATGGGGACTCAGAATTTTTTCTTTGTCCCTCGCTCGTGACAAGATAAAAAAAACCTTCTTACATTTCTTTACCGAGCTAGAAACTTACTCTCTGTCTTAATCTATGTTAATGTACTTCTAAACATTTGGTTTCTATATGCTGAACCCGGCAGAATGAAGCTAACCTTTACTGACCCCTCCTCCTCTTCAAATCACTTGAAGGTAAGAGATATTTTAATCAAAAACTTAGTGGACGAAATATGTCGTGAAATATATGTGACTTTCTTTTAACTGCACCTTACCTTCATTCATGGCAGCTTTTACATCGACTTCATCTAACGCATCGTCATAAACTTTCATCTGAGCTATTTTGCCATTAAAGTATCTGGAGTCGCCAATCTTAACGCCCATTCGAACTTGCCCGTCGTTAGTTGATATCCTCTCCGTCGTGCCGATGTATTCTGTTTTAGACAAATGGCCATTGACGTACAAAGAGTTGACTCCAGTGATGTGATCATAAGTTGCCGCAACATGGGCCCACTGTCCCACTGGAAGTGCCTGATCAGTTAATATGGCATCGAAAAACGCATGATTTGGGTATTTGGTGATCCTGTTAAAGAACTTGCCGTTAACTATCCAAATATGGACTCCCCAAGCTCCGGAGTTCTTGTAGTTAAAGAGCGGCCCGTCTCGACCACCGGGCTGAACCCAGCACATCAGGGTTATAGAGTGTAGGGTGTCTAGTCCTCCGTCATTGGGGAACTCTATGAAACTGTTTGGGTTGCCTGAAAACTGGTAGGATCCATTGGTTTCTCCATGGGGTCCAGTTGTGAGCTCCACCTGCCCTAAAACTCCAGCTGGCTGCTTATTGTCAATTTCCCTGGCTTTAAATTCCCCATTTAAAGGATAGTAAGCGACAAGATGACCTTAGTATAGAAACAGAAAAAACGAATTAATTACCATACTGATATGTGAAACAGTTTTGAGTGAATCTTGAGCTTCTGGAGGCACTTTCATTGAAATTCAGGGAGTTGAAGTGGTGAAAAACAATTGGTCGTGAACGGAAAATTAACCGAAAAAATGGCAAAAAGTGTTCATTCACGTCAATTTTACAGCATATTGCCGATCTATAATATTGGTCAGTCATTTAGAATTTTCAGCTCCTGGTTTCGATATAGAACTGATCCAGAACTTGAAAACAGCAGTTGCGTTTTCTAGCTTCCATAAATAGTGTTCATGAAAGAATAAAAAATTCGTTTCTATTCACGCTTAGACCTAACAAGACAACCAAACGTAAACTACTGAGCGCGCTAAGAACTAACGAAACAATCAAACGTAAACTATAGAGCGCGCTTAAAAACTGACAAAACAATCAAACGTAAACTACTGAGTGCGCTTAGACCTAGTGAAACAATCAAACGTAAACTACAGAGTGTGCCTAGAACTAACAAATCAATCAAACATAAACTACAAAGCGCGCTAAGAACTAATTAAACAATCAAACATAAACTAAAGAGCGCGCTGAGAACTGAGAAGACAATCAAACGT